CCTTCTGCCCCGGCCTCCGCCCCCTGAGTAGCTAGAATGACAGGCGCCCCCACCACACCCAGCTATTTTTCTTTTTTCTTCTATTTTTGGTGGAGACGGGCTTTCAGCACGTTGCCCAGGCTGGTCTCGAACTCCTGACCTCGGCTGATGCACCTGCGTTGACCTCCGACCTGGAAGACGGGGTGTAAGCCATTGTGCCCCCCCGTATCACTTTCAAGCCATCAAGAAGTGTCCCCCAAAAGACTAGGAAATTAGCCGGGCACGGTGGCTCACGCCTGTCATCCCAGCACTTTGGGAGGCCGAGGCGGGCGGATCACCTGAGGTCGGGAGTTCGAGACCAGCCTGGTCAACGTGGTGAAACCTCATCTCTACTAAAAATAGAAAAATCAGGCCAGGTACAATGGCTCATGCCTGTAATCCCAGCACGTTGGGAGGCCGAGGCGGGTGGATCACGAGGTCAAGAGATCGAGACCAGCCTAGTCAACATGGTGAATCCCCGTCTCTACTAAAAATATAAAAATTAGCTGGGCATGGTGGCGCGTGCCTGTAATCCCAGCTACTGGGGAGACTGAGGCAGGAGAATCTCTTGAACCCGGGAGGCGGAGGTTGCCGTGAGCCGAGATCGCGCCATTGCACTCCAGCCTGGGAGACAAGAGCCAGACTCTGTCTCAAAAAATTAATAAATAAATAAACATTTGTATATCCATGTTCTGAGCAGGAAGCTCTGATTTATTCTTGTTACCCAAATTCTGAGGGGTCTGGGGAGTCAAGCCCTACAGGGCCTCATTTCTCATCCGACGTGTTCAGCTTAGAGTTTAGTTTCCTTCCGAGGACAGAGCGTGGCAGACGGAGGGGAGGCCGGTTGTGGGGCGGAGGCTGGAAGGTCCCTCCCGGCACCCGGCCCAGCAGAAGAAGAGGTGCAGGTGGCAGGCGGAGGTCAGGAGGATTCCTAAGTGCAAAGGTCACAGGGCTCCACAGAGGACACCTCGGCCCCCTGCACAAAGGCAGCTCTTTTGTGACAGAAGAAACTAAGTGTTCTCCCTACAAGAAAATCATGATTATATTGAGACCCGTGCAGAGGAGGCAGGAGGGAGCCAGGTCCCAGGACACAGTGACAGAGTCACAGACAGGAGGGACCCAGGTCCCAGGACACAGTGACAGAGTCACAGACAGGAGGGCCCCAGGTCCCAGGACACAGGGACAGTCACAGCCAGGAGGACCCCAGGTCCCAGGACACAGTGACAGACTCAGAGGCTGGAGGACCCCAGGTCCCAGGACACAGTGACAGAGTCAGAGGCAGGAGGATCCCAGGTCCCAGGACACAGGGACAGACTCAGAGGCAGGAGGGCCCCAGGTCCCAGGACACAGGGACAGACTCAGAGGCAGGAGGACCCCAGGTCCCAGGACACAGGCTCAGACTCAGAGGCAGGAGGGCCCCAGGTCCCAGGACACAGTGACAGTCACAGCCAGGAGGACCCCAGGTCCCAGGACACAGGCTCAGACTCAGAGGCAGGAGGGCCCCAGGTCCCAGGACACGGGCTCAGACTCAGAGGCAGGAGGGCCCCAGTTCCCAGGACACAGTGACAGTCACAGCCAGGAGGACCCCAGGTCCCAGGACACAGGCTCAGACTCAGAGGCAGGAGGGCCCCAGGTCCCAGGACACAGGGACAGACTCAGAGGCAGGAGGGCCCCAGGTCCCAGGACACAGGGACAGACTCAGAGGCAGGAGGGCCCCAGGTCCCAGGACACAGGGACAGACTCAGAGGCAGGAGGGCCCCAGGTCCCAGGACACAGTGACAGACTCAGAGGCAGGAGGGCCCCAGGTCCCAGGACACAGGGACAGAGTCAGAGGCAGGAGGACCCCAGGTCCCAGGACACAGGGACAGACTCAGAGGCAGGAGGGCCCCAGGTCCCAGGACACAGGGACAGACTCAGAGGCAGGAGGGCCCCAGGTCCCAGGACACAGTGACAGACTCAGAGGCAGGAGGGCCCCAGGTCCCAGGACACAGGGACAGAGTCAGAGGCAGGAGGACCCCAGGTCCCAGGACACAGGGACAGACTCAGAGGCAGGAGGACCCCAGGTCCCAGGACACAGGGACAGAGTCAGAGGCAGGAGGACCCCAGGTCCCAGGACACAGGGACAGACTCAGAGGCAGGAGGGCCCCAGGTCCCAGGACACAGTGACAGAGTCAGAGGCAGGAGGACCCCAGGTCCCAGGACACAGGGACAGACTCAGAGGCAGGAGGACCCCAGGTCCCAGGACACAGGGACAGACTCAGAGGCAGGAGGACCCCAGGTCCCAGGACACAGGCTCAGACTCAGAGGCAGGAGGGCCCCAGGTCCCAGGACACAGTGACAGTCACAGCCAGGAGGACCCCAGGTCCCAGGACACAGGCTCAGACTCAGAGGCAGGAGGGCCCCAGGTCCCAGGACACGGGCTCAGACTCAGAGGCAGGAGGGCCCCAGTTCCCAGGACACAGTGACAGTCACAGCCAGGAGGACCCCAGGGTCCCCAGGACACAGGCTCAGACTCAGAGGCAGGAGGGCCCCAGGTCCCAGGACACAGGGACAGAGTCAGAGGCAGGAGGACCCCAGGTCCCAGGACACAGGGACAGACTCAGAGGCAGGAGGACCCCAGGTCCCAGGACACAGGGACAGACTCAGAGGCAGGAGGACCCCAGGTCCCAGGACACAGTGACAGAGTCACAGCCAGGAGGACCCCAGGTCCCAGGACACAGTGACAGTCACAGCCAGGAGGACCCCAGGTCCCAGGACACAGTGACAGACTCAGAGGCAGGAGGGCCCCAGGTCCCAGGACACAGGCTCAGACTCAGAGGCAGGAGGGCCCCAGGTCCCAGGACACAGGGACAGACTCAGAGGCAGGAGGGCCCCAGGTCCCAGGACACAGGGACAGACTCAGAGGCAGGAGGGCCCCAGGTCCCAGGACACAGGGACAGACTCAGAGGCAGGAGGGCCCCAGGTCCCAGGACACAGGCTCAGACTCAGAGGCAGGAGGGCCCCAGGTCCCAGGACACAGGCTCAGACTCAGAGGCAGGAGGGCCCCAGGTCCCAGGACACAGGGACAGAGTCAGAGGCAGGAGGACCCCAGGTCCCAGGACACAGGGACAGACTCAGAGGCAGGAGGACCCCAGGTCCCAGGACACAGGGACAGACTCAGAGGCAGGAGGGCCCCAGGTCCCAGGACACAGTGACAGACTCAGAGGCAGGAGGGCCCCAGGTCCCAGGACACAGTGACAGAGTCACAGGCAGGAGGGCCCCAGGTCCCAGGACACAGTGACAGACTCAGAGGCAGGAGGGCCCCAGGTCCCAGGACACAGTGACAGACTCAGGGGCAGGAGGGCCCCAGTTCCCAGGACACGGGCTTAGACTCAGAGGCAGAGGGCCCCAGGTCCCAGGACACAGGGACAGACTCAGAGGCAGGAGGGCCCCAGGTCCCAGGACACAGGGACAGACTCAGAGGCAGGAGGGCCCCAGGTCCCAGGACACAGGGACAGACTCAGAGGCAGGAGGGCCCCAGGTCCCAGGACAGAGGGACAGACTCAGAGGCAGGAGGGCCCCAGGTCCCAGGACAGAGGGACAGACTCAGAGGCAGGAGGACCCCAGGTCCCAGGACACAGTGACAGTCACAGCCAGGAGGACCCCAGGTCCCAGGACACAGTGACAGTCACAGCCAGGAGGACCCCAGGTCCCAGGACACAGTGACAGACTGAGAGGCAGGAGGGCCCCAGGTCCCAGGACACAGTGACAGACTCAGGGGCAGGAGGACCCCAGGTCCCAGGACACGGGCTTAGACTCAGAGGCAGGAGGGCCCCAGGTCCCAGGACACAGTGACAGACTCAGAGGCAGGAGGGCCCCAGGTCCCAGGACACAGTGACAGACTCAGGGGCAGGAGGACCCCAGTTCCCAGGACACGGGCTTAGACTCAGAGGCAGAAGGGCCCCAGGTCCCAGGACACAGGGACAGACTCAGAGGCAGGAGGGCCCCAGGTCCCAGGACACAGGGACAGACTCAGAGGCAGGAGGGCCCCAGGTCCCAGGACACAGGGACAGACTCAGAGGCAGGAGGGCCCCAGGTCCCAGGACACAGTGACAGACTCAGAGGCAGGAGGACCCCAGGTCCCAGGACACAGTGACAGAGTCACAGCCAGGAGGACCCCAGGTCCCAGGACACAGTGACAGACTCAGAGGCAGGAGGGCCCCAGGTCCCAGGACACAGTGACAGACTCAGAGGCAGGAGGGCCCCAGGTCCCAGGACACAGTGACAGACTCAGAGGCAGGAGGGCCCCAGGTCCCAGGACACAGTGACAGACTCAGAGGCAGGAGGGCCCCAGGTCCCAGGACACAGTGACAGACTCAGGGGCAGGAGGACCCCAGTTCCCAGAGCACGGGCTTAGACTCAGAGGCAGAGGGCCCCAGGTCCCAGGACACAGGGACAGACTCAGAGGCAGGAGGGCCCCAGGTCCCAGGACACAGGGACAGACTCAGAGGCAGGAGGGGCCCAGGTCCCAGGACACAGGCTCAGACTCAGAGGAAGGAGGGCCCCAGGTCCCAGGACACAGTGATCAGACTCAGAGGCAGGAGGGCCCCAGTTCCCCAGGACACAGGCTCAGACTCAGAGGCAGGAGGGCCCCAGGTCCCAGGACACAGGGACAGACTCAGAGGCAGGAGGGACCCCAGGTCCAGGACACAGGGCTTCAGACTCAGAGGCAGGAAGGGCCCAGGTCCCAGGACACAGGGACAGACTCAGGGGCAGG